TACCAGGGGCTCCTGGCCTTACCAGGAGCACAGACGCTACCAGGGGGGCGTCCTGGCATCGCTACGAACGGAGCAAGAAGCTACGAACGTAACAGTAGATCATCTCTTACCGAGTTACAGGAGATGAGACGCACCCCGACGCAACCGTGGACCGTCTCCACGACGGTCCGAGGACGTTGGCGTTCCTCGTTCGGTCCCCACCTGTGTCTCGGTCAATGGCCCGAGCTTCCAAACGACCGGAAAGGAATCAATGAAGCTCGACAGCACATGCCTTGCGTCTGTTTCGAGGCGCGAACGAAGAAAAGCCCCGACTCGCCCGACACGACTCGCCGGCCGAGCCGGCAGAGCGAGTAGGGACTGGTCTGTTCACTGGTGTTCACACGCTGGGAAGGGTGGAGATGTCCAACTTGCAGTTCTGGAGGTTCTGACATGATATGTATGTATATATATATAGTTATATAAGTTATATATATATATACTAAGGACGTGTATGTACAAATGCTCGTGTCTATAACGGTACGCTCCTGCGGTATTTGGTCCATGATATTATCAGTACCACCCAGTTCGGGTGATTGACCCCCGTGACCACCCGAACTCGTCCCGTCCATTTTCCACCCAAAGGTCGGTGGTGCTGGTGCCAGGCCTAGACCGGACCTCATCCACCGTAGTTTCGATTAGAAGTGATGTGTGAAACGATGAAAGACCATCATCCTGTCTGGGTCATAGACTACCCCAGTCACCAGTCTAGGGCTGGGTAGTCTATGACCCAGACAGGATGACCCAGGGAGAAATCGACTCAAAACACGTACCTGTCAATGGAGACGAGTGGATCGTGACCCCCAAACCTGTCCCAAATAAGCCGACATACCAGGACCTTCCAACACGTGGTTTTAGAACCCTAACAGGTGGTGAACCTGGGCTGTTACAGGAAACCACCTGTTTTCCAACAGGAAACACCTGGGTGCCCCTTGGTTTGGACCATGAACGTAGAAGAACACAGGCTAGGATAGAGCTCCTGCAAGGCAAGGTCAAGAAAAACGTCTTTTCACCAGCGTCTGAAAACCAGTGAAGGGCCAGATGTCCCAAGTCTCTACCAAGTCCAAATCTGCGACGGACCTTTCAAAAACTCTTTTGGAACCTTTCCAAGAACTTGATCCAAGGTCTGAGGGGCAAAGGAAACTTCAAGACGAATTTCTCGCAGCCGGTCAAGGGAGAGGCTTCGGCACCGGCCAGATCGGCAAACCAATGGACAAAGTAGAAGGCCACATCTTTACTGGAGGTCTCCTCGTCCAGAGGCTTTCGTTCGTTCGACGGGGAAGAAGGATTCGGAGGTGGTTTTGGCTGGTGAACGCGGGGGGGTAAACATGGATCGGACTTTGGGATGGAAGATTGTTTGAAATCGATCCCTGTGAAATCCTGTGAACACCAGAATCGAACCACCTGTCAGTGATTGTTTTTCCAAAAAAGCCAGAGAGTTCTCTGACTAACTGAGGGTCTTGTCGAGGCCCTTCTTAAAAACCGGACTCGGTCAAGCAGACTCTTACTGCCGAATGAGAGATCTGGGCCCCTCGTCATCTGTCGTCTACGCATGGCCACCGGCACGCAGTTCTGAACCATCTGCCGCTTCGAACCATTGGTCGGCACCCAAAAGAAACAAGGTCCTTTTGTTGTTTCTGTGTTTTTTGATGCTTTTTTTGCATCGTGTGTGTGTTTCCTTTCATCGTTCTTTTTCGTTTTGATGTGTCAACTCTTGGTCGCTTGGAAAGGCACCCACCGCAGACGCGTCGCGCGTGATCGCGCACACGCGTGATCGACGAGCGTGAACCCTCCCAGGGCCTTGGGCCGTTCCAAGATCACCTGTCGAAAAGCTCGGAAGAGCGCGCCAGGATGTGCTTCGCCCTGAACAAGCCAACCCATGTTGTAGTCCAGCTTGCAGTGGGTAAATCGAATGCACTCCTGCCGAGGTGTTCGATCAATCCATCCGGTGTTCCTACGAAGGCTTCACATTGACTGGGACGATAAGAAGGCTGAATTGTTGGGCAAAGAAATCCGGACCACCCTGACAAGTCATTCGGCACGATCATTCGGAACATGTGCTCCAGCTGGCTCATTCGATCGACCATCCAACAACTCACACGTCACAACCCCTTATATGGGATGTTTTTTGAGTCCCTCTAGACCGTAGACGCCGTAGACCGTTCTATCTCATGGCCAGCCCAAATGCCCTCGCAAGCGCTGAAACCAACTGCGGCGCCTGAACAATCGCGGGCGCAAGCGCGGCAAGCGCTGCAAGCACGCTTTTCGTCTAGTACAGATCGCCTGCAGTTCGGGTAAGAGCCCGGCAAAGGAGGGCAAGGCTTCAGGACATCGCTCGAGGACGTAGCTCAAGGCGATGTCATGGTCTCCAATCACCTCGGCACCAAGACCACGTATATAGCGGTTTGACGCACCGGTGGACATGCTAAGGGTTGCTGACTGTGGTTGTGGTGAGCACAGCAAGGGGCACTTTGATGCTAACACAATGTGTTTTTAACAACGGCTCAGAAAGCCCAAGCTGTGCATGTTCGAGCCATGATATATTAAACCCTGACATCTTCTCTCTTTCCAGACCGGTTCCTGCATCTGATTGTGAGATCATCTCCCCCCCAATCTTCGCACCAACGTCTTCCGGTCCGTCGTCTCGTCCGGCTCAACCCCTCAAGGGCCCCGTGGTCAGTCTCCGAATTCGTCGAACTGGCTCCGTCCGTCACGGTGCTTCTTCTGCGTGTCTGATTCGACTCGTAGCCAAGCTGCTTCGCCCGACTTATAGCCACAGAACTCGTTCATGAGCACCGTGGGTCTTAAAATGTCCAGCTTCCTCGTGGACCGCGACCGGAGCACGGACACCGAGGACCGATACAGTAGCTCTCGGTGTTCGGTCCGAGACATCGGAGCGAAGCCGTACTAAAACCCACCGGCCAAGCAGGTGGATGGTAGGCCCTTCTTCCTTCACAAAGAATTGGAGTCTGAAAAAGAAGCCCGGCCCTCGGGCCTATCGGAAATGGGACAAGTACCGTCAAGTACCTGTTGTTCTGGGGTCATGTCCCATGTTTTAGAGTGCTTGAAATCGGGTCGAGGAAGATTGGCAGTGGAGATGATTTACAGCTGGAAGTCTCCAAACCGCGTCCGGAGTGAACTCCCATGATCCAGTGCTCGCCCCGTTGGCGCAGGCGTTTCAAGAAAGGCAAGTCGGTCCATGGAAAGCTGCTTTGCAAGGGTAACGTCTTGAACTACGTATAACAGTTGCTACCGCTGCTAAGTAAAGTTAGCACAGTAGACCGTCTACCCTTGAAACATGTGGCTACAGCAAGGGTAGGGGTAGGGTCTTGCAACATACAGCTATGTACAGCTAACAGTTGCTAAGTTGTTCCAAGCGATCTGGTTCCCTGCAACCATGTCCCATGTCGTGGCATGTTGAGAAACACTTTATTCAGCACTCAGTTCCCCTCTCAGATTGTCAGGGTGGGAATCGTTTGGATCCTAAACCATTGAATTACATAATCCTTCAAAGAAAAAAGATTTAAAAACGACATGTTTCCTTTAAGGTTGGAAATACTCCCAAAAACTTCCCACGGGTTGTCTCCAGAATTACGAAAACAATTATATAAGAAATCGCAACAAATTATAGGATCAGCGTAACCCCAAAAATGCTTTTAAACCCATGTGATCCAGAAACCCACTCTATACAGTTCTTTCGCTCTCGTGTTGCCGGACGACGCATCAACAGTATACATGTTCCTTTCCACCCTGTGCGTGCGAGCGAAAACCGTCTTCCGCACGTGGACGCTGGACGACGCATGGGAGCCCCCGTTTCGGTTCGCGTCCGAGAAAGCTCCGTTCGTAGCGTTCCTAGTAGTACGGCCAGTTTCGCCCCTAATTAGTAGCTTCTTGTTGACGCTGAGCTGCATGATGTCGTGGATCGTCATCAGAACCAGCATGGCCAAGGTCCTCTCCAAACGTCGTCCGAACTCACGGAACGAAAGCATGCGAAAGCATGCGACCTGAAGCGTTGGTGATCGTCGACGTGTATGTTGTTTGTGGCGTTTTTTTGGGGATATGTATGGATGGCATGAAGCCTTTTTTGTTCAGGATTGATCTGAGAAACGCACATTCGCAAAATGGTGAGTCTGCGAGCCATTGCTGGTATCATATCATGGCTACCAAGTTCCGAAAAGGGACGGCCGGGCCAAAAATCGCGTGGAACGTCACTGACTCCACACTGAAGCTATGAGTTCCCACCTCTTTCCCGTGCACCTCCCCCCGAAGTCAGCGCCGCCTTCCCCCCCTCCCGGCCACCGGTACCGGTCCTTTCCACGTCGTGGCCCTGCTTGGTCAAGAGCCCCGCGCCGCGCATGAGGTCCTCGATCGCGGACCAGTTCGCCTGTTCATAGAAGCTCATCCGACGCTGGAACTCCGCCTCCTTCCCCGGCACGTGCCTGTTGTGGCTACCACGCGGCGGACGACGCGAGCGGAGAACTGGAGTTTTCCTGGGGTAGCTCTGAGTCTGTGAGAGCTCACCCACACCAAACAGTTTCACAAGTGAAGACGTGACTAGACACACAAATAATCACAAATAGGCATTCTGTCATCATACATGTTGTGTGACAGTGTTTGGTATTGTGATTTATTCACCAAACAAGTTTGCCTGTATCCTTTCTATTTTGAAAGACTTGCTGGACGGTGGACGGTGGACGTTGTTTCCATCTCCCCGACTGTTGGTCGATGTTTTGTCTCCCACAGATGTTTAGCCCGGGATTCTCAGGATGATTATAACACCAGGCTAAGCAGTCTAAGGAGCTGGGAATCTAAGATGTCTAGACTCAGGTCCAACCGACGTGAAAAGGTCCAAGAGTCCAAGACGGTCGGACCCGGGTTGGGTGTGCAGCTTCTGTGGACGGTATAGCGTGGTTGACTTAACCTTATTTGCTAGACATAAGTGACATAAGTATGAACCATTCCCAACTTTGTTGACTCATGTTCAGTGTTTCTCTTTCGAGGCAGACAGCTCCCAAAATCCTTCGGCCCTGTGAGCGATGCGTGGCGCGCGCCATGTGCGCCCGGATCATCTGCCTCATGATTTCCTTGGCATTCTTCCACTCGTGGTCCAGGCCAAAGCAGAAACCTACGGTGTTCACCCTGGTTGGTCCAGGCATCCATCTGTACCTTTAACTCTCCACCACTCACATGCTTTGGTGGAAAAGCTTGGGACGGCTGGAAGGGGAAGTCACCGTTCTAAGGGGAAGTCACCACGCTTCGCAAAATGGAAAAACAAGGTCCCACCTACTGGGCGATGGCCTCCAACCTCCTACTGTGCTGTATTTAACATATATGAATATCACCTGTTGAAAAAATACCACCTGAGAGGGATCCAAGGGGGGTACTGTCCAACCTGACACTCATGACACCTGTATCATTCGGGAACTATGCCAGCTGCAGGCTGCAGACTGGCACCACCATTCAGGGAATGTGTGGCAGGTAGGCCTCTTAAAACCAAATCCCAGCAAGGCTTACACTGTTTCTTTGTTGCAACTTGCCAACCACCAACCCGGAATCTGATCCATGGGTGGATATGGATCACATTGGATCACAGTCAGTGCTGACTTTGAAAACATATTTCATGGAGTTACATTTAACATATGTAGTGCTGTAACAGCTTGAAATTTTCGCTGAGTCTTACAAGTTTCACTAGCGATAGTGAAGCATGTATGGAATTCTGATTTTCGCTGGAGCATGGATGATGTTCTGTTTTCGCTGAACAGATTTGCGAAAACAAAAGATGTTGGTGGTTCCAGCGAATTTGAAAGTTCAATGCAGTGATCACTAGCGGTAGTAAGACTTGTAAGAGGCTGAGAATTTTTCAAGCCCTTACAGCAGTGGATACCTTAAATGACAAAGAATAGACGGTATTTGTTCAAGGACCAATCCCAAGTCTGGCCAAGGCCCGAATACTAAAGTAGATGTAAAGCAAGGTCCCACCTCAATTCACTATCGCTATCACCCTGACTGTTTGGTTCACTGTCGCTAGCGGTAGTGAATGTTGTAAGGGACATCTCGCTGTCACCCTCACTGTTTAGGTCGCTGACGGTTAGGGACAGGAACATTGATAACTAGTATCTTTACACCACCACATTTTCACATATCTGAAATACACCTCAGCCTAGCGATGGCCTCCAACCTACTAGCCATGGAGACTGGAGAAAGTCAGAAGTTGATAGGAACTGCTCCTTCTCCCAAACCCCCACCAAAAAGCCTGCTGCGGGTGACGACTCCCGCTCCTCCTCCGTCCTTCCCCGGGCAAAGACAGTCCAGTCTAGAGCCCGCGCCGGTCCGGACGACGGTCGCACGTCACATACATAAGAAAATTACACCAGCATTGACCCAGATAGCTAGGCAGAATCCCACAACCTGTTGACGTGCGACTGGCTGGAACAAGAATGCACGCAGCCTGCACAGCCAGCTTACGGCACCTCCACAGCGCGCACGACCAGCTGACACCAGCACCGGTGCGCTTTGCCAGCACCAGCACCAGCACCGGCACCCGGCACCCAGCACCAGCCGGCACCCAGCACCAGCACCAGCACCAGCAACCTCTCCACCGCGTCCACACCCAGCTCGCACCACCACCAACACCACCAGCAGCGGCACCCGGCACCCAGCACCAGCACCGGCAACCTGTCTCCACCACGCGCACAGCCAGCTCACAGCACCAGCACCAGATACCCAGCACCAGCAACCTCTCGAAAGCGCGCGCGGGCAACTCATTGTTATCTGGGGAACTATTAAGGCAGTGCGAGCTGAATGCGTCTCTGTAAGTGTGCATGCGCCGTCGTGCGCCGTCTGCGCCGTCGTGCGCCACCGTGCGTCATCTGCGCCATCTGCGCCATCTGCGCTGCCATGCGTCTGTTTGTCGCGCATGGTGCGGGTGTGGCGCGGATGGTGCGGGTGGTGCGGATGGTGGCGGATGATGGCCGATCGTGGCGGATGGTGCGGATGGTGCGGATGGTGCACAATGTATAAAGGCACCTAATACCAATGGCCTCCAACCTACTACTAGTATCTACTAGCATGACGAACATGAGCTTTATGTCGGGTCGCATTCGCGGCCATCCAGGTGCTGTCGCATGAGCCAGAAGATGCAGAAGAGCGCGCCCGTGGTGCGCTGGAACTCGTCCGCGCCGGAGCGGTTGGCAGAGGTGCTCATCACCAGGTTGTGGTCATTTCCTCGGTTCGGTCTACAGGGCCCGGATCTCAGAAAGCGTGAAGAAGCTGTTCACATGATCATGGTTCACATATGTTCACATCATGAAGGTTCACCCTGGTATCGAACATGTAGGCACTTTTGCAATCAGAAGCCGCCACCTCCCTCTCCCATTCTTGACTTCCTAGTTGTTCCAGAAGAACTCCTCGACTGAAGATCCTCGTCTCTGAAGCTGGGCCTGTCCAACCCTGGGACAGGGGTGCAAAGAAAGGAATAACCCTACAATATAAGGCGACAGCTCTCCAACAACCACTTTCCACAAAGAAGGTGCGCGGCTTAAAGACGATCCCCCAAAACAACCAACACAGGCACACAAAAAGAGCGAGGAGTGACTTATCTCTACCACAAAGAAGAAGATTCAACAGTCAGTCAACACATGTCAGTGCTACATACAATTATAAATACAAACACACTTTAGAAAAACCAAAACAAAAAACACCGCACAGACCCTCGCACTGAATTCCATTCACTGCCCGACCGGTCTACCCCCCCTCTCGGTCGAGCCCGTCTACCTCGCGGCCGAGCTGCGGACCTCGGAGACCCGAACCACCGAGTAGAGGCGTAGCTCCGGGAAGGCGGCCACCATGTCTTCATAGAAGTCCTGGGGGAGACGAGGGGTAGAGGGCGACGGGCGACGGACGGGCGACAGCATCGACGAGCGACGGACAGTACAGTCCTGGTCGATTGGTTTGGGAGAGCAGAAGCGGTCGGGTCGATCGAAAGATGGAGTGAGGGTTCTTTGAAGGGAGAGACAGGGGGGAGACAGGGGGAAAAGTCTGAATTTGTGAAGGGTGTTTCTTTTTGGGGGGAAGGGGATGGAAGGGGGGAAGTCTGTTCAGTGTGTTTTGGGGCAATGTGTTTTTTCGTTGGAGGTTGTTTTTCATGGGGCTGACGCTCTGCTTTTTGAATGATGGGGTGAGATTTAATTCTTACAAGCAAAAGAGCTCGACCAAAGGTGCAGGGGGAGCTAGGACGGGATTTGAGGAAAAGGGAAGGCAAACAAGGGATCTGGCATCGCATCCATTTCTTCAAAGGAGCTTCAAAAGCGTGCATCTACCAGCAGTACCATGGAGTTGGGTGCTATCCATGGAGGAAGTCGGGGTGCCCCTGCCACATCCACTCACTGGACTGGATGGGTCTAAAAATCATCCCGAATTGGAACTTCTGTTATTCCATCTCCGCTGATCGCTACCGGCCCGAAGTCAGTGGGCAGATGGTCTCTGCCCGCGGACTGGTGTTCGAGCTCCTTGGTGGTATACTCCGGAGAGCGAATCATCTCCGCCGCTCTTCGTGCCTTCGCCCAGTCGGTCGTCTTCCCCTGCACGAGAAGGAAAGCAAACGGAGCGGTGCGAAGGAAAGCAACAGACCTGTTCAAGGGGTCGAACAGGCCTATAGTAGCCTCATCGCATGTGTACCAGTCCAGGCTCCCAGTTCAGGTCTCTCAACCAGTGGATGGACAGTCAGTTGTTTTGCAGGAGTGGCCCCTTCTTTCTGCCGGGGGTCAAAGACACAAGATCTGGAAGGCCCAGCCGGTGGCATCGGCTTCATCCTTCCAAGATCCAGGATCTTCATGGCATAAGGATGTTTAGACTCAGCTAGCTACATGTTATATAACCTAGTCTTCCAAGACCAAAGGTTCACATGGTTTTGTGCTGAGTAAAACGATTCAGGCTCAAAAAATCACTGGTGGGCCAGGAAGCCTTAGATCATATATCATATCTTTATGTATACCTAGATCTTCCGACGATGCAAAAGATGTTTGCCGTCTTTGACATGAAGTCGGTTTGCCTTACACGATCCAAAAAAGAAACACATACTTGGAAGGTCTATGAAGGTCTATCCACCTCTCAGCCGCCCTTTCACCACACCCGAACCCGACCCATCAAGACGCGCGGACGCGCGATGGCGACCTCCAGGACTCGGCTCACCAAGAGCTCGTTCGAGCCGTGTACCGGCAGCATCCCTGGAGGTGACACCTGGGATGGCCAGAAGCTCGGTGGAGTCACTGGAGAAGCTGGTTTCACCCAGAGAAGTTGGTTTATGAGCAGAGTGCGAATGCGAGGTTCCGAAGGAGAGTGTGAAGTTCGGTGCCAAACGAAAGAACAGGAGGATTTGGGAAGAAATGAGACAGTTCATGGGAACCTGAATCATGATGTTGAGGATTTGGAAGTAAAGAGTCGAGAACACAGAAATGTCAGGATACGTCGCATTTAGGGGATCAGTCTGGGGCAAATTTAGTTCTTTATACTCCAGCGACGAATGGGCCCAGCCTGGTGCACCTGGTTTGGGAGTATAATACCTGAGACGAATGATTTCCATTGCTTTCAGATGCTTCTCAATCCATATAGTCGTATAGCTCTGACGAACACATCACATGGAAGTGAATGGCCTGGCCCCCAGTTTTCGACGCCTTTCCTGGACGTTCTCACGGTGTCTTCCACGGGGGTGGTGTTTCCGCCCTCCGAGGTCTTCGGAGAGAAACCTTGGGGCCTCCCACTCAGTCTCCCCCTCTGTCTCGACCTTCTCTGCACGATGCTCTTCCCGGGCCTGGCCAGCTTTATCGACCTCCACAATCGAGGCATCCTCCTGCAAGTGACATGGTCGGACCAAGATCGATGCAGCAACCAGATCTAAGACCGTTGAGATCTTCCAGATGTTCTTCCAGCAACCAGATCTTCCAACAGGCAAGAACAACAGCGCCAGTCCGACCACGACCAACAACTAACATGGCCGCCCATGGCCATCACCAATCGCCACGAAAGCAAAGAAAAAAAGCGATCGCTCGATACTAGTAACCCAGCCTTCCACATCCTTCCAACCCATCTTTCAGTTGGAGGCCATGGCCATTAGGATGGAGGCCATCACTGTTAGGTTGGAGGCCATCGCTCTTAGGTTGGAGGCCGTCTTCCTCCGTCTTCCTGCTCTAAAGTCTCGGTGAATTCTTCCCAGTCCTTCTTGTCGAAGAGGCTGGGCGGTCTCAAGACATAGTTCTGTCCTGTGGATACTTGAAGGCTCCAAGAAAAGCAAAAGTACAAGGAACGATATGAAAAATAGTTCATATACGTTATATCGGTATATCTGTTTTGTATATTTTTCTAGTGTTCTTTTCGTTCTTTTGCCTCAATAATTCTGTCCTGTGGGTACGACCCAACCCCATCGCGTCACCACCACTTCCGTCTGCCCTGCCACCTGACAACGGTGGAAGGGGCCACGATGCGTTTTTTTTTCTGGTCACCACGAATTTGATGGGTTCTGGGCCTCGAGCCAATTCCGAAACCTTGAGTTTGGTGCTTCATTGTTCTTCATCACCTTCTTGAAAGTGATGTCAGGACATTGATGAAAGATGGATGCGCTGCTCAAGTTCTCCTGGCCCTGAAACAATACTTGCCTGTGCATGTTTGACCAATCATGAACATGGACACAGCCTAGGTGCCTATTTCGTTGAGAGGCAGCTTTACACGGCCCACGTGTCACTTCTGTTGTTTTCATGAAGAATTCGAAAGACGCCACCGACATTCGAATTGCATTGGCAGTGATGTGCCTCATCCGAATCTATACGGAGAAATGAGGACATCTCATTGCTGAACCCTTGACGCCATGCCGTGACACCACCGAACGCGAAGTCGCGAGAGGTGTGGCGATGTGTGGCGTCCCCGCAGGCGTCGTGGTGCCCGAGTTGACCCTGGTCGCGCGCAGACGCGCTCCCCTACCCCTCCGGCGCCGTTCTAGCGAGGCGTTCGGCCTCGTTCTTCCGAAGGTAGGTGAAATCGAAGGCCCCGGGGAGGCCCAAGACGTCCCAGCGCTGGTCGTAGGGGTGCCGCACCTGATAGCTCGAGGGTTCTCTCATGTTCTCTCTCTTTCTTGGGGCAGCGGTTCGTTCGATTCCCACCTCAATCCCAATTACCACACCGCGGTTTCTAGGTTCACAATTGAAGTCTGAACCTCTAGTTACCTATATACTGTATATAGTGGTTTGCCTGGATCCACTGGCTTCCAGGACATGGATCACATCGTGGCCATTCTCGTCACCATGTCCCGAAAACCGCCTGGTCACCAGTCCGCGAACGAACACCTGGAGGGATCGGGTCGAGGGGTCGCAGGGGTCAAAGCAACGCCGGACCGGTCGGGCTGTTTTCGCGAAGACTCGTCGGGCCGTCTCTTCCGTTCAGCCGGTTTGAGGCGTGTATCCTCAAACAGGCGTGTGTTGTCCTGAAAGAACGCCGGGCCTCTGCGTGCACTTCTAAGATGTCATAAAGGGTTTTCAGGCCAGGAAAACTCCTGAGAGCAAGTGGACAGTGAACTACCCACCAGGTCGGTTAAGTCTAGCTCATAGCGATGTGGGATTTCCCACCACCCGTGGAATTGAGGGTGAGGGGTCCAAACAATTGATACTTAAGGATGAAACAAAAACTTAGGAGATCAACAAGAGAATTGATAAAGGATCAAACATCCTGAACTGTGGGTATTTACAGCACTCTCGGGCACCCAAAGGGTCAAGGGAGTCGGGCAGGCTCTCGTTTGATGCAAAGGTGCACAAGGTTAGAATGGTTTCCATCGTTGAAACTAAACCCGCACTTGGCCCACCAACCAAAGGGTGCGTTTTGCCCTGGAGTTGCCCACTCAAAATTTGTTGGGGGGTTGGCCGCAAACAAAGTGAACAAGATCTGACAGGCTCTTATGGCCGGGTTTTTTCACAAGAGAGCGTGTATGCTTTATGGTTGGGTATGGTTGGAATGGTTTGTTCCTGCTCTAAATGTTACCCTTGGCTCTGGCAGATGTGTAAGGCTGGAATAGCTCATGTTTGATTTTGAATTGTCCCTCACATGGCCCACAACTCGCTGGGTTTCTTCCAAAATTTACCCTGGGGGCGGAGCCACACCATGATTGTTTGCCCTACCTTCATTCGACCACAGGACACATAGGAAACCAAAGAAACCCACAAATCCGACATAGAATAAGGGCTTCGTGGCAAAGCCGGAGCTAGGGGCGCTAGGGAAGCTGCACGTGCAAGATTTCGTGGTGCCGGAGAGGGGCTGGGGGAGGGCGCAGGGCCTCCCCTATCACACGGAGAGAATGACAACATCGAGCCCAAACAGACCGGCAGTAAAAGGATAAGAAAAAAAACTAGAGTGAGTAGAGGCCATAAAGAAATCTTGGAAGTATGCAAACACGATGACAAACGTTGTGGTGATGTTGATGATGATGATGATGATGATGATGTTGTTGCTGCTGCTGGTGGTTGTGGTGATGGTGACGGTCTCTCTAAAACATCTCCGACCAGCTCCAGCTCATTCCCTGGGGCAGCTGTTTAACGTGTTTCACACGCAAGAAACCACACCTGTGGACCACACCGGAACGGAAGCCTGGAACTTCCGGAACGCGTCCTGGAGTACTCCACCTCTTGACGCCTGGCAGCAAAGACCCGGAACCTGGGATACACGGTTTTGTATTTCCATTAAACATGAGAAATAGAGAGGGGAAGAAAGAGTTCCACCTGCCCACAGGAGCGAACTCAAGTGTGCTTCTGCTTCCGACTGGGCCTCTGCGCCAAGCGCATGCGCAAAGACGTGCACCATGCTGTTGGTTGCGACATGTTCTAAGGGCCTAGGTCCCCACAATGAAAGCTGCTCAAGGAAGTGGTGTTCTGGCCTCGACGTCAGAAAGTGTTTCTTCGTCCACAGATGCATTTCCGCATCCATTTCAACAGTGGATGTGAACTCAAGTCGAAATTGAAACACCTCCAAACCGTCCCAACACCTCAACTTGACATCTTCATCTTCCCAATCTTCCCGGCCGCCGAGAGCAGCCCTCTCGCCCGCGAGTCGCTCGAGCGCGGCCCGAGAGCCTGCCCACCAAAGAGCAGTCAAGCTCGTCGCGCTGCAGCTGCTCGGGGATCCCCAGTCTTTGGTACAAAGCATCTCGAAGGGCTTCCTGTCGGATGGCGGATGCCGGATGGCTCGGCCAAAACTCCTTGCGTAACTCGGTCCAGCAGGGAGAAGTCCCGGCCGCCCTCCCGACAAAGAAAGGTCTCCTAGGATGACAAGAAACAGGTCATGTGTGTGGTTACTAGTAGCTTCTTGTTCCTAGATGTTCTTAGTAGCAAAGGCCTCCAACCAAAGAGCGATGGTCTCCGACCTAAGAGCAATGGCCTCCAACCTAAGAGCAATGGCCTCCAACCTAAGAGTGATGGCCTCCAACCTAATAGCGGTGGCCTCCAACCTAAGAGCGATGGCCTCCAACCTAATAGCGGTGGCCTCCACCTAGTCCAAATTGAGCTTATTCTGACACACCTGCAAAACCTCCAAGGCCTACTGCCAAACCATTGTCCCCGTTATCCAGTACGTCTACATCTACCATCCTCCAACGTGTCATCAATTAAGACCTGTTACGGCCCAACAAACCTTTAGAGAAGACCAGTAGCAGAACCACAACAAGGAACACCCACGGGAAGTAAGTCGGCCCTTTTTGGTCTCCCCATCACGGTCCGCATCGGTCCGCCGATCCGGTCCGTCCTGCCAACCATGACCTTCCCTCATCTGCATGGACAACGTCCGTAGCTCTCGGATCTCGGGAGCGCCTAGGGGAGAGAAACGAGACTTCGGAAAAAACCGATGGCCTCCAACCTACTAGCGGCCTGCAGGTGGATCTCAGACGAGGCTGATCTCCAACTAATGTGTAGAACGTGGCCTCCAACCTACCTAGCGATAGCTCTCGGATCTCGGATCTCGGCAGCCCCAAGAAAGAGGTGGTCGTTTCTGGGGTCCGGAGCCGGTCCCAGAACCGAGGAAAGAAGACGTATCTGTCTTTCTTTCGGCATCACAAAGCGGATTCCCCTCTTTTCACATGCCCACGTTTTGATGTTTTGGAGATGACCAATCTAAATGTGCCTCTTCTGAGTCGGACCTGGGGGTTGGTAGCCACAGCTCGAATCAACGACACAAACCTCCAGCTTTACTCTGTGAAAATGTAGAACAATGAACAATGTACACATTGCAACAATAAATCCTTCAGCCCCCTAGATAGATTCTTAAACTTCAGCTTAATTGATTGTTTCTTGATGGACGAGTAATTATTGTGTGCCTGCTTTGGAGATCAAATTGCCCATTAGGCAGATTTTGTGGGATAGATTCTTGTTATGTGAACCTTACAGATCATCTACGTCCCCAGAAAGAAGACCGGGATCTGGTACAGGATTCTCACACGCTCTCGCACACGACCTGAGCCAAACAACTTCGGTTGTTCGCCATGTCACCTTCCTTCTGCTTGTTCTTCACCACCAGCACGTGCTTGCAGTTGAGGATGCTCACGCAAAGCCAGACCTTGATGACCCTCAAATTCCGCACCAAGTCCTTGTCCACCACCTGACCGGCAGAAGTGACACGGGCCCCGCCTTTAGCGGGAGCGCGCAGAAGTTCGGTGCCCACAAAAAACACAAAAAGAAGGGAGAACACCTGGCTCTCTAAAAATAAAATGACCCAAAACACACCCAGTTTTGGGCTGAGTAAATCAAACGAGTTTTTGACCAAAACGAGAGCGCTCTGTCCTCCTCACATGGGACCCGGGAAAGCCAACAAAAGAGCCGCAGGTGTCTGGCAACACCGCGCCAAAAGCTTTCTAGAAAGAGGAGACATCCAAATACACCAAACCAATAGCTCATCTACGTTTATATTAGTTGACTTCCACCCTCACCCTCGGCCTGAAGTCGAGACCGTCGCTTCTCGTAGACCTCCTCGTAGAGCTCTGCGAAGCTCCTCGAGGAGAAATCGATGCCATGGCTCTGCAGTAAACGCATGAGCTCCTGCGGAGGGTGGAGAGTGAGTGGAGGGTGAGTGGAGGGTGGGTTAGGACGTGCAAGGGTGGTGCTGACTCACAACCTTTCGGCTACACTGCGTGTATGGTTTTGTTTCTTGATGGACTCAAGCCATCCCGAGTTCAGGCACCAGCTCAAGTATTGGGTTGCAGTTCGGACGTTCGGGTGCATCAAACGGCAGTTCAAATCCCCGCAACTAGGGCCGTATTGGACTGGTAGGATTTTTCCCAACGCAAGAGCCTTCGTGCGGCCGGGCTTGGACCCAGGATCGGTTCCGTCCTCTTCTTTGTTGGAGACGATCTCGACCCAGGTCCAGTGATGTTGCCCGTGGTGATTCGTCTCAAATTCCTCCCCACCGGGGAGGCCGATGGGCTTCAACTCCGCCTGGCGCGATGGCTGACCGACTGATCCCTCAAGGACGGTAGAAACCGGACGAAAAAGCAGCGCTGGACTACCCCACACAAAGGCAATGCGCGGAGGGAGACTGCAGCGAAGGGACACATGCCTTCAGGCTTTGTCGCTTTCTGAGAACCATAATCAAGGAGCAAGTAGCTCCTGGTAACAAGAAGCTCTTAGGGGCTCCTGGCATCGCTACTGGGAGCAAGGACGCTACTAGGGGC